TAGGTTGGCAGGAGCAGGGACCGAGCAACGGGAGCTCACCCCGTCATTGCGGGGATTCGAACCGCCGACCTTCTGATCGGCAAGTCCTAGGCTCTGTGGTTTAACCCACACACAGTGCCAGATTTATGTATAAGCTAAACAAGCTATGTAGGGACGCGGGGGGCACTGTGGTCTAAACCACGGAGCCTCTTGTGTTTGCCGATCAGAAGGTTGGTGGTTCGAATCCCCACGACGGGGTGAGCTCCCTTTGCTTGGTCCCTGCTCCTGCCAACCTAGCAGTTCGAAAGCACCTCAAAGTGCAAGTAGATCAATAGGTACCGCTCCGGTGGGAAGGTAAACGGCATTTCCATGCACTCTGGTTTCCGTCATGCGCCAGAAGCGGTTTAGTCCTGCTGGAAAAAATGTCTGCGGACAAACACCGGCTCCCTCGGCCTATAAAGCGAGATGAGTGCCGCAACCCCAGAGTCGTCCACAACTGGACTTAACTGTCAGGGGTCCTTTACCTTTTTTAAAAAAACAATCTGTAGCTTAGGGCCCCGCTCTCTTGGGGCCCCCCAAAAATTTAAAGAGGAAAAAAACCTGGATGTACATTTCCAAAATATAAGATAAAAAACAAAAACCTACATGCAGCAACAGTGTTTTGTGTTGTGTAGGCTCCTAGGATGTAAGTCATGGCCCCGCCTGCTCCCTAAAATTTCCCTGGTTTGCTCCTTTCTATATATAGGGTGCCAACATTCTGCATGGACTGGTTGCAGGGCAACATGGGCTAATGGCTTGAGATACCTATTAGGTCCATAAATGGCCATAGAGCATACATTCAACACCAAAAACAGTGACGATTTGTTGTTGACAAAGGACAGCTGGACATATAAACAGCCCCATTACCACTAGTAGCTTAGGGCCTCATCAAACCCGGGTGCAAAATTTGGAGAAGTTCCAAAGAGAGCAGCGTTTCTTGACTCTAGAACTTTGGGGCCGTCCGGCGAATGTCAGGAGATTCCAGGCCGGTAAAAGAAAGGACTCCTTCACGGAGCACATAGTTAATCTAGGGGACTCCCTGCCACAGGGTACAAGGGACGGCCGCCAAATTGGATGGTTTTTAAAAGAGGATGGGATAAATGCATGGAGGGCGAAAGGCTTGCCGTGAAAATAGAGGCCGCGTTCTTGAGGGGAGCCAGCAAGACTTCTGAATACCAGTTGCTTCTTGGTTATCCATGTGAGAACAGCAGACCCTCCAAATGTCCCTATTTTCCAGGGACAGTCCTGGGTTTACGGAAGATGTCCCGGTTTCTAATTTGATCCCGGAATGTCCCGCGTATCTTTAGGACGTCCCTATTTTCATGGGAGAAACGTTGGAGGGGATGGAATAGGACGTCCCTATTTTCAGGGGAGAAACGTTGGAGGGGATTGAATAGGACGTCCCTATTTTCAGGGGAGAAACATTGGAGGGGATGGAATAGGACGTCCCTATTTTCAGGGGAGAAACGTTGGAGGGGATGGAACAGGGTGTTCGGATGGGCAAGCGAGTCTCCTCTTACGAACCGAATTTCTCCTTCTCCACCCCACCCAGAAAGGCCTCACCTCTGTGGGGGAGATGTCGAAGACCTCTGCGATTTTGGCGTACAACTCCTTGACATTGGTGAACCCTTCGATCTTTCCGGTGGGGCTTCCGTGGGCCAGCTGGGTGTGGAAGATGAGTCGGGGTCTCACGCGGGGCTGGCGGGGCGCCGGGGTGCCCCCGCTCTGCCCCGGGGTGCCCCGGCCCCCTTCGGAGGAAGAGGACGAGGCCTGGGAGCCCCCGGTTTCCCGGGACACACCGTTCTCCATCGGCGTCCCTCCTTGCCGTTCTGCGTCTCCTTCCCGGCTCGGTCGCTTGGCCCTACGCAGCATTCGGGGCCCCCACCTGCGTCCCCCCCTCACCTGGACAACGGGAGACGATCGCCCCGGTTGAATTATTGATGCCCCTGGCCTCCAGGTGGAATGGCAGAGAGGTAAGGTGAGCCGGGCTTTGGCACAGAGCCCGGAAACCCAATAGCACCCACCTTCCAGCGGAGAATTCAGTTAGGCATGCTGTGCCCCAAGGGTGCTGTGTCGGAGCCGAAGGGGGTCACGGCTGTGGGGTGGAAGGGTGGCGAGGCTTTGGCACCCAGACCCTGCACCCATCAGCGTACGGTCCTTTGCAAATAATTCCCGGTGCTGTTTATCCCCCGTCCCCAGCTGCTGCTGCTGCGAGCCTCTCTTGGGACAGCAGATGTTTTTTCCTGATATACCTTCGAAGGAACACATGAGACCAGGTTGCTCCTTATTTTATTTCGGAAATATTGTCTCTGCCTCACCAGGCAGTGCCGGGTTTACGTATAAGTGAAACAAGCTATGGCTTAGGGCCCCACTCTCTTAGGGGCACCCGAAAAAATTAAAGCGGGAAAAACAACTGGATGCACATTTCCAAAATATAAGATAAAAAACAAATGAAATAAAACCTACATACAGCAACAGTGTTTTGTGTTTCTGTAGGCTCCTATGGTGTAATTTATGTGTAGGCAAATTATGGCCCGGGGGCCGGATCTGGCCCAATCACCTTCTAAATTTGGCATACGGACAGACCAGGAATCGGCATGTTTTTACATGAGTAGAATGTGTCCTTTCATATAAAATGCATCTCTGGGTTATTTGTGGGGCATAGGAATTCGTTCATTCCCCCAAAAAAATATAGTCCGGCCCCCACAAGGTCTGAGGGACAGTGGACCGGCCCCCTGCTGAAAAAAGTTTGCTGACCCCTGGTAAGTCATGGGCCCGGCCTGCTTACCTGCTCCCTAAAATATCCCTGGTTTGCTCCTTTCTATATATAGGGTGCCGACATTCTGCATGGACTGGTTGCACGGCAACATGGGCAAATGGCTTGAGATACCTATGAGGTCCATAAATGACCATATACTATATATTCAACACACAAAAACAGCGACAATTTGTTGTTGGCAAAGGACAGCTGGACATAGAAAGGGCCCCATGAGCTTCAGGAGTTGAGGACCACATCGAACCTAAATCTGGCCCTGGCCTTACATGGTTTGCTCATTTTCCACAGAGATCTGTCTCTTGTTCCACGTCCCAGATATCCGTGCTTTCAAACAATTCTGAGATTTACAAGAGGAAGTACTGTTTTCCTAGGGGGGATAAAGAGGTGAAGGAACTCCCCGTGAACGCCTCCCTCGTTCATCATCACCATCATTTTATTTACATGCACACTTCTTCAGATATTGGTATGCATGCACACGAAAGGTCATACCAATAACTAACTTCTTGTTGTTTATCGTTCAGTCGTGTCCGCCTCTTCGTGATCCACTGGACCAGAGCACGCCAGGCCCTCCTGTCTTCCACTGCCTCCCGCAGTTTGGTCAAACTCATGCTGGTAGCTTCGAGAACACTGTCCCAACCATCTCATCCTCTGTTGTCCCCTTCTCCTTGTGCCCTCCATCTTTCCCAACATCAGGGTCTTTTCCAGGGAGTCTTCTCTTCTCCTGAGGTGGCCAAAGTCTTGGAGCCTCAGCTTCAGGATCTGTCCTTCCAGTGAGCACTCAGGGCTGATTTCCTTCCGAATGGAGAGGTTGGATCTTCTTGCAGTCCATGGGACTCTCCAGAGTCTCCTCCAGCACCAGAATTCAAAAGCATCCATTCTTCGGCGATCAGCCTTCTTGATGGTCCAGCTCTCACTTCCATACATCACTACTGGGAAAACCATGAGCTTGAACTATACAGACCTTTGTTGGCAAGGTGATGTCTCTGCTTTTTAAGATGCTGTCTAGTTGGTCTCTAAGGTGCTACTGGAAGCAATTTTTTTATTGTGTTCCGACTACAGCAGACCAACACGGCTACCTACCTGTATAATTTTATTTGTATGCTTCCATGGTTGAAGCTACGCTCAAGGCGGCTTCCAACATGAGAAGATCTACGTAATTACAAACATAACAAAAGTCGTCAACAATAAATAAAACACATCAAAAAGTACACAACCAAACGGAAGCAGTTTCCATGTAAATCATAAGATCTAAAACGAAAGATGCAACAATAATATCAGTACAGTGGTACCTCAGGTTAAGTACTCATGAGACCAGGGCCCTGCAGAATCTGATTTCTTTCCACAGGGCCTGTAAGACAGAGTTGTTCCACCTGGCCTTTGGATTGGAGCCAATTTGATTCCCTCCCTCTCTTTCTTTTTTATTTTCCTTTCTCCTCCTGCGATGAGGCTACATTTTAATATTTTAATGTTTCAATATTTTAATGTTGTATTTTAATTTTGTTTTTAAGTTGCATTCATTCAACTTGTTTTTATTATTGTGTTAGCCGCCCTGAGCCCGGCCTTGGCTGGGGAGGGCGGGGTATAAATAAAAATTATTATTATTATTATGAAATGTCGAAATGAATGTAGCGAAATGTATAAACTTGAAAAGTATAATAAAATGGGATTTGTTTAAAAAAATGAAAAGGATGTGTCCAGTTATTCAGCTTTGCAGGGAGGACATATTTTCAAGAGTATATATTGAAAGAAGGGGAATAAAAGAGAAAAAGTAAGTTAATTTGGAATATGTAGAAAATATTTTTAAAAAATTAAGGAATCGCAGGAAAAAGGGGTTAAAATGATTGTAAAGTCATTGAAATGTATAAAACTCAAAATCATTAAAATAGTTAATTATTTTAATTAATTAATTATTTTAATGAAAATAAAGGAATTAAAAGGAAATGGACGCGCACAGAACGTTCGCATCTCCCTTTGAAGTTCCTCCTCCATTGATACAATTCGACTCACGACGCGCTCTCCGATTGGTTCCGCCCTCGGCCAATCCGCGTCGCCTCCGAGCCGTGATGCGTTCCATTGCGCGCGGCCGCCTCTGGAAGGAAAAGCGATGGCGGGTAGGGGCGGGGCGAGGGCGGGGGAAGCGATGGAACGCGCGCCCGCCAATCAGGAGCGCGGCGGCGGCGAGTCCCGTCCAATCCGCGCCCGGGGAGAGGGCGGTCATTTGCATAAGGACCCAGCTGCGAAAGGGGCGGCGCTTCTGCCGATGAAAGACACGGGAAACTTTTGCAAAGGTTCCTATTTAATATTTTTATTTTTATCGGTGTTATTAATCCGGGCTGGTGGGTCGGGGAGGGGGCAGATCTGGGCATCTGCGAGAGGGGGAGATCTAGGATTTTTTTATTTTTTAAATTTATAAAAAATAATCAATTTTTTTTTGTTTTTCTTCAAGGGAGGGGGGACCCTGGGAAGGAAAAATATTGCAAAAGGCGGGGGCTCCATTGACTTTTTCCAAGAATAATTAATGCTAATGCATTGGTGCCTGCCTGTCTCTCTGCCCCCCAACCCGACCCTCGGCCCTATAGCTGATTTTTTGTGTATTTTTTTAAGGGAGGGGGGAGACTGGGAAGGAATAATATTGCAAAATGCGGGGGCTGTATTTACTTTTTCCAAGATTAATTAATGCTAATGCAATGGTGCCTGCCTGTCTCTCTGCCCCCCAACCCGACCCTCGGCCCTATAGCTATTTTTTTTTTTGTTTTTTTAAGGGAGGGGGGAGCCTGGGAAGGAAACATATTGCAAAAGGCAATATTTACTTTTTCCAAGTGGATCAATGCGAATGCAATGGTGCCTGCCTCTCTCTCTCCCCCCCCCAACCCGACCCTCGGCCCTATAGCTAATTTTTCTTGTTTTTTTTAAGGGAGGGGGAGCCTGGGAAGGGAAAATATTGCATAAAGGGGGGCTCTATTTACTTTTCCCAAGATTAATTAATGCGAATGCAATGGTGCCTGTCTGTCTCTCTACCCCCCTCTCTCTTTGCCCCTGGCCCTCTTGCAATTCCCCAGTTCCCCTGGCTGGGGAGGTGGGGTGGGGTCTCTGATCCCTGTTCGCATTTAATTTTAAGGAGATCTTCCGGAAGGAGCTAAGGGTGATCTCCCTCCATCTCTGTAGGCGCACTTCTGTACCCTCCCAACATTTGCCCCACGAAAATAGCGAGTTTCCCATTGTTATTGTTCTTCTATTATTATTGAATAGGACGTCCCTATTTTCGTTGGAGAAGTGTTACTTATCTCCTTGGCTGAGGGCGGGGGGGAGGGGGTCACATAACTACATCCCCTCCAACTTTTCTACCTTGAAAAAAGGGATGTCCTTTTCTCTTGTTGTTCTTTTGCGATTTATATATCCTGCCCATCTGACCTGGGTTGTCCCAGCCACTTTGGGTGGCTTCCAATATGAAAGGTAAAGGTACCCCTGCCCGTACGGGCCAGTCGTGACCGACTCTAGGGTTGCGCGCTCATCTCGCTCAAGAGGCCGGGAGCCGGCGCTGTCCGAAGACACTTCCGGGTCATGTGGCCAGCGTGACATCGCTGCTCTGGCGAGCCAGAGCCGCACACGGAAACGCCGTTTACCTTCCCGCTAGAAAGCGGTCCCTATTTATCTAATTGCACTAAGGGGTGCTTTCGAACTGCTAGGTGGACAGGAGCTGGGACCGAACGATGGGAGCTCACCCCGTCATCGCGGGGATTCGAAACGCCGACCTTACGATCAGCAAGTCCTAGGCACTGAGGTTTTACCCACAGCGCCACCCGCGTCCCGTTTTATATATATTGGCTTCCAATATGTATATATATATTAAAAACTTTCTTATCCAGGGCTGGCTTCAGATGTCTTCTAAAAGTTGCGTAGTTACTTACCTGCTTGGATCGGGGGTCACATGACTCCATCCCCTCCAACGTTTCTCCCCTGAAAATAGGGACATCCTATTCCATCCCCTCCAACGTTTCTCCCCTGAAAATAGGGACGTCCTATTCCATCCCCTCCAACGTTTCTCCCCTGAAAATAGGGACGTCCTATTCCATCCCCTCCAACATTTCTCCCCTGAAAAGAGGGACGTCCTAAGGAAAAGCGGGACACTGCAGGGTCACATCAGAAACCTGGACATTTTCTGTAAATCTGGGATTGTCCCCGGACAATAGGGACACTTGGAGGGTCTGGCTCTCCCTCCAGTGTTGAATCATAGGCTTGTAAATTCGGAAGGGACCTTTGAGGGTCCTCTAGCCTGACCCAACCTGTGCCTTCACTTGCGAGGTTTACCCTGTCGGAAACGCGAGATGGACCAGCGCAGCGATAAGGTTTCCTGGCAAAGAGTTTGTGCGTTGTCGACTATATGGAACTTGCCAAACTGACTGGGAGACTCCCAGACCAGAGAGAAGAGACGGTGGAAGAAGATTGGAAGAAGTTTAAGGAATATTTGAAAAAAATATGTTAATATTGAAACCTTAGAATAGCTTTGGAAGTGGATATAGGCTGTAGGGTTAGAAGCAGTAGATAGGGTCTTTTAAAATAGTATTATTTGTAAGTGATAAAATGTGGAGTTATTTTAAGTGTGGTTAAAAAAGAAGATGGTTAGAAATTATGATATGTGTAAACTGCTAAAGATGAAGTAAAATGAAAATCAGATAGGTGGGACTTGGGGAAGCCCACTTAATGTTTAGAAAAATAAGGATATGACAAGAATTTGTTCGTATCGTTTGTCTTTTCTGTTTGTGTTTATTATATGTGTTATAAAATGAATTAAAAATTTTTTTTGCGGTAAAAAAGAGTCCGTGCGTTGAAACAGAAAGGGGGTCCCCGTGCAAAACGTTCCAGGGTCCCCGTGCGAAACACGCCCACTCTTACTTTCCTCCCGTGCTTTTCGCATTAAGTCCTGAATCGTCTCTTCCAGGCTCCCTGTTAAGAGCGGTCGCTTGAGTTTCTCACCGCCAACGAACGGAAAATGTCGCACGGCGCCAGGCAAGCGGCTGGACTTCTGTGAGTATTGACTGTGTTTTGTGTTGGTGCTTTTTCACGTTGCCAAATGCTTGAACGCCGGCCAAACTATCAAGATTAAAGGTTTTGGCATGGCAGAGGTGGGAAAGAAAACCTTTAACTTTTCAAATCCTGGTTCGGAAGCGCCAGGTGGGAAGGCGGCGCCTTCGTTTGCTCAGCTATCAAAGAGATCATTTTTATTACTGTATTTTTCGCTCTGTAAGACACACCAGACCACAAGACGCACCTAGTTTTTGGAGGAGGAAAACAAGAAAAAAAACATTCTGAATCCCAGAAGCCAGAACAGCAAGAGGGATCGCTGCGCAGCGAAAGCAGCAATCCCTCTTGCTGTTCTGGCTTCTGGGATAGCTGCGCAGCCTGCATTCGCTCCATAAGACACACACACATTTCCCCTTACTTTTTAGGAGGGGGAAAGTGAGTCTTATAGAGCAAAAAATACTTTTGGATTGACGAATCAACAGAGTCTTTTAGGAAAAGAAATAAACGGAAGCTTCCTTTTGCGGATGGAAATTCAGGGTAAATTTGCAGTTCCGTGTAACCTTTTTCACGTGCGTGCTTTTTTGGTTTCAGGAACGCCGCGGGGAAAACCCAGCCAGGGGGTTTCCTGGTGTCAATCAAACAGGAGAAAAGCGAAGCCCCTCGTCTGATCGCAGAAAAGCCACATGGCGAAGAAGAGGTGAGACTCCTGGTGCGTCTATATGTCGGGGCTACGAGATTTCCCCTAATAATAAGAATAATAATAATTTATTATTTATACCCCGCCCATCTGGCTGGGTTTCCTCAGCCGCTCTGGGTGGCTTCCAACAGAACACTTGTTATGGTTTGAAGGAATTCTATAAAAGATTGTCTATTGCGTAGGTACACGGTCATCATTTTGAGTAGACATGGCTGACGTTCTCTTTGCAACACAGGGGTTTGTTTGCTTTCATTTTGGCGGCTAATGAAACACTTTGGGGCCGCAGTTGTTGCATACATAAATTTGTTGTTTAGTCGTTAATCGTGTCTGCCTCTTCGTGACCCCCTGGACCAGAGCACGCCAGGCCCTCCTGTCTTCCACTGCCTCCCACAGCTTGGTCAAACTCATGCTGGTCGCTTCGAGAACACTGTCCCACAATCTCGTCCTCTGTCGTCCCCTTCTCCTTGTGCCCTCCATCTTTCCCAACATCAGGGTCTTTTCCAGGGAGTCTTCTCTTCTCATGAGGTGGCCAAAGTCTTGGAGCCTCAGCTTCAGGATCTGTCCTTCCAGTGAGCACTCAGGGCTGATTTCCTTCCGAATGGAGAGGTTGGATCTTCTTGCAGTCCATGGGACTCTCAAGAGTCTTCTCCAGCACCATAATTCAAAAGCATCCATTCTCCGGCGATCAGCCTTCTTTAGGGTCCAGCTCTCACTTCCGTACATCACGACTGGGAAAACCAGAGCTTTTACTATACGGACCTTTGTTGGCAAGGTGATGTCTCTACTTTTTAGGTACATAAATAGATTCCAACTAAACTTTCTGGCAGCAAGTCCGCCTTTGCTGGAGGTTTTCCAACAGAGGTCGGATCCCCACCTGTCAAGAATTATTTTGCAGCTTTGCAGGGCAGCTTTTAAGGTCAGAAGGTTTCCCCTTCCAAGCAACGCTCTGAGCCCATGAGGACTAGAAACCTGTGTTTGCTTTCTAATGCAAGCCGGAACCCCCAGCTTGATATAGGTTCCAGCCATGGGTGTTCAGCTATCTCCTGTTTTTCTCCTGAGTAGCCCGTGAAGAAGAGGGGATGGCCGAAAGGGAAGAAGAGGAAGAAGATTCTCCCGAACGGGCCAAAGGCCCCGGTGACAGGATACGTCCGCTTCCTCAACGAACGGCGGGAGCTGATCCGTATGCAGCATCCGGACCTGCCGTTCCCAGAGATCACGAAAATGTTGGGTGCAGAATGGAGCAAATTGCAGCCAGTGGATAAACAGGTGAGAGTGGCTGAATTTTCATGGAGGAGAGTCAACGACGGGCTTTTAGCCACGATGGCTCTGATCTGCCTTCTCGGACGGAGGGCGGCAATGCTTAATAATAATAATAATAAATTTATTCTTTATACCCCGCCCATCTGGCTGGGTTTCCCCAGCCACTCTGGGCGGCTTCCAACAGAATATTAAAATACAATAGTCTATTAAACGTTAAAAGCTTCCCAGAACAAGGCTGCCTTCAGATATCTTCTAAAAGTCATGTAGTTGTTTATTTCCTTGAAATCTGGTGGGAGGGCGTTCCACAGGGCGGGCGCCACCACCGAGAAGGCCCTCTGCCTGGTTCCCTGTAACGTCACTTCTCGCAGGGAGGGAACCGCCAGAAGGCCCTCGGGAGATGGACCCCGGTGTCCGGGGTGGACGATGGGGGTGGAGACGCTCCTTCAGGTATACTGGGCCATTTAGGGCTTTCAAGGTCAACACCAGCACTTTTAATTGTGCTCAGAAACGTCCTGGGAGCCAATGTAGATCTTTCAGAACCGGTGTTATGTGGTCTTGGCAGCTGCTCCCAGTCCCCAGTCTGGCTGCTGCATTCTGGATTAATTGCAGTTTCCGGGTCACCTTCAAAGGTAGCCCCACGGAGAGCGCATGGCAGTAGTCCAAGCGGGAGATAACCAGAGCATGCACCACTCTGGCCAGACAGTCTGCGGTCAGGGAGGGTCTCATCCTGTGTACCAGATGGAACTGCCCTGGACACAGAACTGACCTGCGCCTCCATGGACAGCTGTGAGTCCAAAATGACTCCCAGGCTGCACACCTGGTCCTTCGGGGGTATAGTTACCCCATTCAGGACCAGGGAGTCCCCCACACCTGCCCGCCCCCTGTCCCCCCCAAAACACTCCTTCTGTTTTATCAGGATTCAGCCTCAACCCGTTAAACAGGCAGCCCTGTTTAGGGGAGTTTTTAATGTTTGATGTTTTATCGTGTTTTTAATATTCTGTTGGGAGCCATGGTGTAAAGGGCAGAGGGGTTTGCCAGCTGGAAATAAGGCCAGAGGGGGCTTGCAGGTCGCAGAGGGAGGCTGACCCTTCTCCCTCCGTCGTTCCAGCGTTACCTAGATGAGGCCGAGCGCGAGAAGCAACAGTACATGAAGGAGCTGAGGGAATATCAGCAGTCTGAAGCCTACAAGATGTGTGCCGAGAAGATGCAGGAGAAAAAAATCAAGAAAGGTGAGAGAGTCGCTAGTAGGTCTGCCAGGAGTTTTGTAAGGCGAATAAAATTTGTCTAGATAAAAAATGGGAAAGCGGAATAATAAGAACGAAATGCGTACCGATTAATAAATTGTAAAACAACACAATGAGAAGAGTTGGGAGTCAAACATTTATGGTGTGTCCACTGTGCGTATGTAGGTAGGTAATGTATCTACTGTACATACAGTGGTGCCTCACAAGACGAAATTAATCCATTCCGCGAGTCTCTTCGTCTTGCGGTTTTTTCGTCTTGCAAAGCACGGTTATTAGCGGCTTAGCGGCTATTAACGGCTTAGCGGCTATTAGCGGCTTAGCGGCTGTTAACGGCTTAGCGGCTTTAAGAAAAAGGAAACAAACTCTCAAGAACTCGCAAGACGTTTCGTCTTGCGAAGCAAGCCCATAGGGAAATTCGTCTTGCGGAACGACTCAAAAAACGGAAAACCCTTTCGTCTAGCGAGTTTTTCGTCTTGCGGGGCATTCGTCTTGCGGGGCACCACTGTATTGTATTGTATTAAGTTTAAAATAAAATAATAAAGATTATTTGAAAGAAAGAAATAAACAGAAGGGGTGGCCTCCTTCACTGGGAGTTATCGACCTTATTAAACTTTTGGGGAAGAGGCGATGTAAGAGCAACAGATTTCCTGACGTGTTCACTCGTTTTCCTTTTCCCTCCTCCTCCCTCCTTTCCTTTTGTGTCGTGTCTTTTAGCACAAATTGCAAATTTAGCAGCCTGGTGCTGGGAAAGAGGGTGAGCCTCAGGTTTTGGGGATGTGGGCTGGAATGCTGCCTATGCTCCCCAAATCATTCTGTGTGCTCAGTTGAGTCACCATCTCCCTACTTTCTGTTGACATTATTATTGCTTTTTTAAAAATACCTTTCAGAGGATGCCGGTTCTGGAGTCGTGAACACGCTGCTGAACGGGTACAAGGTAAATCAGGCTATCAGAGGAATTGCCTCGGACCTTCATTTTAAGAATTAAATGTTGTTGTTTCTGTTAAAAACCAATTTTCTTGCACGCAAGCTTTGGAGATTAGCAGAGTTCTTCATCAGCCCATGCCCCCAGACCTTCCTTTTAAGAATTTAATTTTGTTGTTGTTGTTATCAAAAGCAAATTTTATTGCACGCAAGCTTTGGAGATTTGCAGAGTTCTTCATCAGCCCATCCCTCCCAAACCTTCCTTTTAAGAATTTAATTTTGTTCTTGCTTCTGTTAAAAACCAATTTTCTTGCATGCAAGTTTGTAGATTAGCAGAGTTCTTCATCCCATCCCTCCCACCAGATCTTCCATTTAAGAATTTAATTGTTGTTGCTGTTGTTATCAAAAGCAAATTTTCTTGCATGCAAGCTTTGGAGATTTGCAGAGTTCTTCATCAGTCCAGAGAAGCACTCCGAAGCACTCCAAAGCTTGCCCACTGCCCATAACATTTTATTTGGCCAAATGAGCATTTTCCTAATTCAGATTTTGGGATCGTTCTTTACGGGCCATCATCGCTGCTACAAGTTTGCTTTTACGTTTTTTAAAACCAATCGCATCAGTTCATCATAAGGCCTTTACAGTGCACAGCCAGGTTATAAAACAACACTTTATTCTGGAAAAAAACATGACCTATAAAAGTTTACAGCATGCAATAAGGTTTTGAAATTAAAATTAGGAGGCTGGAACGGAGCTTCTTAGCTGACAGAGCGAATTTGGCTGCCGGATGTGAAAATCTTTTATCAGACAGAAGTTCCAGCTGCCACTTCCTGGGGGTAACGGCCCGGGAAACAGCTAAAAATAGATGATTTTAAAAACAATAATTCTCTGGGCATTTTGTATAAAGCAAGGAACGCATGATATCTTCAAGAGGCCTTGATTGGTTGATAGTGATTTGGGGGTACCAAATAGAATAATGGCTATTTTTATTTATTTAAGAGTTGAATGTTTTACTCCCTGTTTATCCGTCTTGAGGGTTGGAGTCCAGGAATGTGGGGGGTTTTGTTTTCCGAAGGTGATTTTCACGGGAGGAGGCCCCGAAACGAACATTTCTGCACTGTGGGAATTTAGAAAATGATTTCCTAAGACTTTTTCCACCTGCCCCCCAAAAAACATGCACAACTCCCAATTCATCCCCAAATTTTCCCTGGGAAAATAATGCGAAGTTTTCTATTGTTCTCTTGTTTCTGTTCACCGGTTTCCTTCTCAATCAGCTGGGAGAGGGAGGCAGCGACGGATTCTCGACATTTGACGTCCCCATATTTACTGAGGAGTTCTTGGACCAGAATAAAGGTAATTTAAGGAACTGAGCAGGCTGTCGTGGGCTTGCAAAAGTCCGGGGTACCAGTGCGGGATTTACGTATAAGCTAAACAAGCTATAGCTTAGGGCCCCACTCTCTTGGGGGCCCCCAAAAAAATTAAAGGAAAAAACAACAACTGGATGTACATTTCCAAAATATAAGATAAAAAACAAATGAAATAAAACCTGCGTACAGCAACAGTGTTTTGTGTTGTGTAGGCTCCTATGATGTAAGTCATGGGCCCCCGCCTGCTCCCTAAAATATCACTGTTTTGCTCCTTTCTATATATAGGGTAGGGACACGGGTGGCGCTGTGGGTTAAACCACAGAGCCTAGGACTTGCCGATCAGAAGGTCAGCGGTTCAAATCCCCGCAATGACGGGGTGAGCTCCCGTTGCTCAGTCCCTGCTCCTGCCAACCTAGCAGTTCGAAAGCACGTCAAAGTGCAAGTAGATAAATAGGTACCACTCCAGCGGGAAGGTAAACGGCAATTCCGTGCGCTGCTCTGGTTCGCCAGAAGCGGCTTACTCCTGCTGGCCACATGACCCGGAAGCTGAACGCGAGATGAGCGCCGCAACCCCAGAGTCGGCCACGACTGGACCTAATGGTCAGGGGTCCCTTTACCTGTACCTATTGATATACTTCTTGTACAGTGGTACCTCAGGTTACATACACTTCAGGTTACAGACTTCGCTAACCCAGAAATAGTGCTTCAGATTAAGAACTTTGCTTCAGGATGAGAACAGAAATCGTGCTCCGGCAGTGTGGCGGCAGCAGGAGGCCCCATTAGCTAAAGTGGTGCTTCAGGTTAAGAACAATTTCAGGTTAGGAATGGACCTCCAGAACGAATTAAGTACTTAACCTGAGGTACCACTGTATTTCAGTTCAACAATTGCTTTGATAAAATACCTATTTTGTGATGTGCAAATGGCTTTAGATACCTATTAGGTCCATAAATGACCATATAACATATATTCAACACAAAAAACAGTGACAATTTGTTGCTGGCAAAGGACAGCTGGACATATAAAGGGCCCCATTCCCTTCAGTAGCTTACGGCCTCGCCAAACCTCAATCCGGCCCTGATCCTGACATGCACAGATGCCAACTCCCCTGGGTGCCCGTACACCCGCAAAATTTCCCATTCAGGGCACCCACAAATTTCTTGTTCCAATACTCTCCCTGTTATGTACTGAAGTTCTCACCCTGGGCCAGCAGGGGGATACTGTAGATAGTTATGCAAATAAGGGATCGAGAGTGACATTCAGTGATTGGATAGTTTTAGAAAATTGTTACAGTTACGTTGTACTGGAGCTCTATATAAGCAGGCAGACTGAACCCTTCAGTTCAGTTCTGTCCCGGCCTGTGAATAAACAAGAGCTGTTTGAAGAATCGCTGTGTCGTCTGATATGTTCACCCACAACTTAACACTCCCTGTGTTGTCCGTTTGTTTCTCCCAGCCCGGGAAGCGGAACTCCGTCGCCTGCGCAAGGTGAACACGGAGTTTGAGGAGCAGAACTCCATCTTGCAGAAACACACAGAGAACATGAGTTGCGCCAAAGAGCGCCTGGAGCAGGAATTGGCTCTGGAAGAGCGCCAGACCATCGCCTTGCAGAAGCAGCTACAGACAGTGCGCCAAGCCTTGACCGCCAGCTTTGCCAGCCTGCCAATCCCAGGTACGGCTGGGCGGCCCCCACTGGGCGGAACGTGGCTACATGAATGAATAAATGAATTTTTATTTGCGTCGGCCGTCGGCCACAGCAATATAACAACAATACGCTATACAAAGAATAGAAATAAAAAGTCAATTATGTACAATTGGGACGCGGGTGGCGCTGTGGGTTAAACCGCAGAGCCTAGGACTTGCCGATCAGAATGTCGGCGGTTCGAATCCCCGCAATGACGGGGTGAGCTCCCGTTGCTCAGTCCCTGCTCCTGCAGTTCGAAAGCACATCAAAGTGCAAGTAGATAAATAGGTACCGCTCCGGCGGGAAGGTCAACGGCGTTTCCGTGTGCTGCTCTGGTTCACCAGAAGCGGCTTAGTCCTGCTGGCCACATGACCCGGAAGCTGTACGCCGGCTCCCTTGGCCAGTAGAGATGAGCGCCGCAACCCCAGAGTCGTCCGCGACTGGACCTCATTTCGCTTTATTGGCCGGGGGAGCCGGCGTACAGCTTCCGGGTCATGTGGCCAGCATGACTAAGCCGCTTCTGGCGAACCAGAGCAGCGCACGGAAACGCCGTTTACCTTCCCGCCGGAGCGGTACCTATTTATCTACTTGCACTTTGAGGTGCTTTCGAACTGCTAGGTGGGCAGGAGCAGGGAGCAAGCAACGGGAGCTCACCCCGTCGCGGGGATTCAAACCACTGACCTTCTGATCAGATATATATCCACTCTGGAAATAATAATAGCGATATGGGCAGACGGTCAGTTTGCAGAGTGCGATGGAGGTCAGTGGATATCTGATCGGGTTTTCTCCTCCAGGCACCGGGGAGACCCCTACATTGAGCACCCTCGATTTCTACATGGCGAAGCTCCACAGCGCCATCGAGAGCAACCCGGTGCAGAACGAGAGACTTGTGGTACGGGTGAAGGAGATTCTGTCTCGCATCGCCAGGTGAGCCATGCGCAGGACGTAGCCGTCACGAGCGGAGGGTCGGGAAGGAGGCTGCCTGGTCCCGAGAGGTGGGACCTTTGCAAATTAAGCCAATCGTGGCGAGAAGTGGGGAGCAGTGGCAGGTAGCGGTTCAATGGGCGGAAAGTGGGGAGCCCAACAGTAGGTGGCGCTAGAGTGGCAGGAACCTGCGGTCCTGGACTCCAACTCCCATAATTCCTGACCGTGGGCCGTGTTGACTGAGGCTGATGGGAGCTGGAGTCCAGATGTATCTGGAGACCATATAACACCGGTCCTGAAAGACCTACATTGGCTCCCAGGACGTTTCCAAGCACAATTCAAAGGGTTGGTGCTGACCCTGAAAGCCCCAAATGGCCCTGTATCCATGAAGGAGCGTCTCCACCCCCATCATCCAGCCCGGACACCGGGGTCCATCTCCCGAGGGCCTTCTGGCGGTTCCCTCATTGCGAGAAGCGAGGTTACAGGGAACCAGGCAGAGGGCCTTCTCGGTGGTGGCGCCCTCCCTTCAGATGTCAAGGAAATAAACAACTATCTGACTTTCAGAAGACATCTGAAGGTAGCCCTGTTTAGGGAAGTTTTAAATGTTTGGTGTTTTATTGTGTTTTTAATATTTTGTTGGAAACCCAGCCAGATGGGTGGGGTACAAATAATAAATTATGATGCTGATATTGCTTATCCCCCTCTCTCTTCCAGTGAACACTTGTGAGCAGCTACAGACCTCCCAGCGCAACTCGGAAACTTCGCAAAAGTCTGCCTCCTTGCAGCTGTCTCCACCTTCCAGACCTGTCCTCTCTTAACTGTGCCTCTTCTGTACTCCTTCAGGATCAATCTTCTCCCAATCTCCTTATTCCTCCTCAAAGCTGTCCGTCAGGGTGGTTAGATATTTTAGAACATTAGGGAAAAAATCATGTTTTGCGCAAAGGTTCCTTGAGCTCCGGGATTCTACGGTTCTTCTCAGGGAAGGACGACGACGACGGGAATTCCAATTTTTGACACTGGTGTTTTGGCGTTTTATTGCGGCGAGAACGTCGGTGGTGCGCACATTGCGGCACAAAATCTGTAGGGTGTTCCTGCTTCCGAACGCCCTAATTGACTATAATTGATGCATCCGCGTTTGCCCCTCATTTTTCTGCGCCTGCCTGCTGTTTCTTAAACAGAGAAGAGCGCCACTTTCGAATCGGCTAGATTTCTCAAGGATCTGTTTGAAAATGCCGCTGTTTTCACGGCACGGCCAGAGTCAGGACTTCCAATTTGCGGCACAGTCGCTCGCGGGGACGAATGAATAAATTTACGATAATTGCTGACTAAGGTTTGATGCAAACAGGGCACAAGCTGCGTCAGAAATGCAGATTAAATTTTTGCAGGGGCCCCCAAATAAGTGTTGGGTTTTATGCCAGACATTAAACCTGGGATCTTCTCCGTGCAAAGTCCCTGAGCTACACGGATCTTGTTCCTTTCTAGGTAAATGTATTGTGGGTTGAGATCCAGGTCAGAATTGCTGGACTCAGTTCGTGGCTTTCCAGGACTTTAAGAGTGGAAAAGACCTGCCTGAAAATCATGCTTTTACAGTGCAGTCGCAGGTAAGGTTACTTGGGAGTAAGACCCACTGAGATTAATGGGACTTCACTCTCAGGTTTGTCTATAGAGCAGGATCCAGCCAGATATCTTTATCTGCACTATTCTGGTCTCCCGACCACCGCTGAGCTGTATCACTGCCTCGCCCTATTTATTCTTAGGGTTAATTTCCTGGAATTTTCACATCCGGGGGAAAAAATTGCCTACAATTTGGTAGGGTAAATAAATAAAATAATGTTTAAAAACCAAAATTAGATCCTGATTTCATTGATCTAAGAATCCAGGCTTTTGTGCTTTTTTATAGACGGTTGCAATCAAAAATTATTCAACTCCTCCCCCATTTCAAATCAGGTTTGTTATCAAACTTCACAGATTCACAGGATCAAATCAGAGGCGCGTTTTCAGCTGAATTTGGGGAAACCTGTTTTGAAGCAGCCGCCGTGTCGAACTATTTCCTCCTTGCAATCAGCTGAAAGTTTGTGGATTTCGATAATAAACTTGATTTGCAATGGGTTTTTGTTTTTGGAATAATTTCGATTGCAACCGTAGATAAAATTTTCTCGCTCTCCTCATTTTCAGTGGAGCAGGAAATTAAAGAGAGGTCCCCGGTATCGTGTGTGAGGGGGTTTCACAGCCCTTTCCCTACTTCCCAAGAGGAGGAAGGAGAAGAATAATTTGTAATTATGCGTAATTTTGCTTAATTTGCAGAATGAAATCAGCTGGCAAGACTTGGCCGTTTTTTCGCCTAAACCATGGTTTACTGTGATCAAGCAGACAGTGTGCACCATAGTTCCTTGTTCAAGAGAAATGAGCCATAACCCTGGTTTCGCGTTGCATGCAAACCCTGGTTTGTGGTTTATGTAACTCTAAACTACATTGATCAGCCCAAGGAATTACCAATTATGATTTATTTCGATCGAAACAAAACTATGATCCCTGCTTCTGCCGTAACGCTAAGCCCAGGAACCATGGTTTCTTTCCTCTGTGCCCTAACCATGGTTTACGTTGCATGCAAACCTTGGTTTGTGGTTTATGTAACTCGAAACTACATTGATCAGCCCAAGGAATTATCAATTATGATTTATTTTGATTGAAACAAAACTATGACACCTGCTTCGGCCATAACGCTAAGCCCAGGGATCACGGTTTCTTTCCTCTGTGCCCTAACCATGGTTTACGTTGCATGCAAACCTTGGTTTGTGGTTTATGTAACTCGAAACTACATTGATCAGCCCAAGGAATTATCAATTATGATTTATTTTGATTGAAACAAAACTATGACACCTGCTTCGGCCATAAGGCTAAGCCCAGGGATCACGGTTTCTTTCCTCTGTGCCCTAACCATGGTTTACGTTGCATGCAAACCTTGGTTTGTGGTTTATGTAACTCGAAACTACATTGATCAGCCCAAGGAATTATCAATTATGATTTATTTTGATTGAAACAAAACTATGACACCTGCTTCGGCCATAACGCTAAGCCCAGGGATCACGGTTTCTTTCCTCTGTGCCCTAACCATGGTTTACGTTGCATGCAAACCTTGGTTTGTGGTTTATGTAACTCGAAACTACATTGATCAGCCCAAGGAATTATCAATTATGATTTATTTTGATTGAAACAAAACTATGACACCTGCTTCGGCCATAACGCTAAGCCCAGGGATCACGGTTTCTTTCCTCTGTGCCCTAACCACGGTTTACGTTGCATGCAAACCTTGGTTTGTGGTTTATGTAACTCGAAACTACATTGATCAGCCCAAGGAATTCTCAATTATGATTTATTTCGATCGAAACAAAACTATGACACCTGCTTCGGCCGTAACACTAAGCCCAGGGATCACGGTTTCTTTCCTCTGTGCCCTAACCACGGTTTACGTTGCAGAATGCAGAACGGTCCGGTTTGTCAACGGAGGATCTCAAGTTTCCTTGGCACAAAATTTGGATTAATCCACCTTAGTTTTAGCACGCTCTAGATCCTCTTTCTCATGAGAAAGAGAGAGAGGAGAAATCCTGTCTTGTCTGTGTCTCTTGCCTTGTGACGATTTAGCTCTGACGCTCATATATAGACTTTCTGAATCTTGTATTTTCGTAGCGTTGCGCGGTGAACGACGGCAACAGAAAAAAAACTATTTTAGCAGCGAGGGAAGTGGGTATGTTGCTTTTGTGGGTGCAGGGATTTTTTTTTTAATGAAATAAAAAACTTTTAAAAACACAGACCTCCCTAAGTAATTGTCTGATTTAGAGTCTGGGATGAAACTTGCATCTGAGCCAACAATACACCATACAAATTTCGTTTAAATAGCGCTTGCTTTTTACCGTAAGAATTGCCCTTAATTTTTATTGCGGGGTCGCAGCTTGCATTGACGCGGAAACCACCCTAAAGTCACCTTAAAACGAGTCACGTTGATGCATTTAAACTACATATCGAAAGAGGTGCTTTTGCGCGGATAATATTCCCTAACGTAGTTTATAGACCCCACTCTCTCCCAAAAAAGTGAGGCCGTTTTAAATGTATAACTGAAAATCAAATTATAATTAAGCAAGATAAAAGATCGCATTGGCAATTCGCAGTGTGATCCTTTACCAACAAAAGCCTGCCTATCAATGCTTCATCCTTGCAAATAATTGAGCTCTTTCCATAACTGGATAATGATATAAAGTGTTTTGAAGGATAAATGATGACTCACATCCCACCTCTGGGGAAAAAGGTGAATCTACAAACAGGTTAAAGGAGTTTTCCTCCATGTTCCTGCTGTGGCCTTCTAAATGGGAGTTTACTTATTATTTTTAAAATAGGTATGCCTTGCTTTTGCTCTGGAAGGAGCTGTTGTTGCAAGGACAGATTGTGCATACTGCATATATATATATATATATATATGCATACTGCATATATATGTAATTTTTTGAAAATAGGGGAGCGATTTATCTCCCGCTCTTCAGCAAGCAATCTTTCCAAAAAATAAAATAAAATAACAACAGTATAGTTGTTTTATGAAATGGCTGTGGTTGTTGCACGTTCTTCTGAAATTGCTTTGAGATGCTTTGTTATAGGAAGCGATTCCTAAACGGACTCTTTAAAACAACATTATAGAGGTTCCTTTGAGCATGTGCAGAGTGCCGACGGATATAATGGCTGTAATCGGCACCATCTCTCGACGCTTCCTGGTGTCCTGGCCTTCCTTATTTAGCTTGCCGATTACGAAAGGCGGAATAAATATGCAGGTTAAGCAAATCGCCCATTTTTTTTGCAAGGAGGGCGTTGTTTTTAAAGCGTCGCCATTTTTCACTCTCAAAACAAGACCCAGCTTGCAAAGCAAGGCGGACTTTGCCTGTGCATTCCTAACCAAGCCTACTCAGAGCAGCTAGTCTTTTTTTTATTTTTTATAAAAAATTTATTAGGGTTTTTACATTACAAAATAGAAAAAGAAAAAAGAGAAAATACAAAATAAAAATGGTTAAAAACAATCTTTTCATCACATTATTTTTCATTAACTTGTTTCCCGGACCTCCTCATACCTCCCTTTTTTTGTATTCCAATTCAATTTATTAGTTCAGCAGTTTCTTTCCCTCTTTAATTTGACCCTGATCTTTAATCTTAAATTATTTTAATTTTAAATTTTTACTTATAGAAAATCTTTGTTTTCCATATTCTTTTATGCCATTACAGCTAGAAACCACTTAATTTCAATCTAGCATTCATTAATTAGAGCAGCTAGTCCTTTTGCATCCAGTTATGTAAAAAAACACCTTTTTTTGGCTGAAAAAAAATCTATAAAACAGCCGTGTGTGTGTATATGTGTCCAAAATGCTCTAAAACAAATTAAATGGTCTCCTTGGCAAGCCCCATCCCACATTCCCTGCGTCCACTTTATGTTTTGTGTGGTGTTTTAAAATATTTTATTAAGTTTATTCGTTTTGTTTTGTTTTTTTCCACGCGAGGCAGGCTCGGCGGGGCGCAGCTAGGCCGCGCGTTGCCAGGGGCAACGGCGACGCGCTCTTCTTCCGTCATCACGCCCCGCCTCCCTCCCTCCCTCCCTCCCTCCGCAGCGCTTGGCTCTTTCTTTTTTGTATTGATTCGAACGGGGCCAATGGGAGAGCGCGGGGGGGCGGGGAGGAAGGTGACGCGGCGCGCCGGGTTTCCCGTGATGCCCCGCGCGTCGGGCTCTCTGAGTGAGCTAGAGAGAGACGCGGTGGGCGGGGCGGTGGGCGGGGCCTCGCGTCAGGAGTGGGCGGGGCCGAGGGCAGAAGAGAGCAAGACCGACGCCATATTGGAAGGCTCTGGATGAAGGCAGGTGAGAACCTGGGGGGGGGGCGGGTTCAATTAATGGCCTCCCAGCCCCCCTTTCCCCCTCCCCCCCACTTTCAGGGGGGGTTGGGAAGAGGAAACGCCCCCCCATAATTTTCAGCAACAGAATGGGAAGGGGGGGGAGAAAAGAGCCTATTTTTAATGCAATTGGTTATGGGGGGTGCGCCCCCCCCAGGGAGGGAACCTTGTTTTTAAATGGGGGGGTGGTCTATGGGGTGAGAAGCTTCAGAGGGAAGAGAGTGGGGGGTGAGTTACAAGCCAGCCCCCCCTCTCCTTCAATGCTTTCCTGTAATGTGGGGGGGCTTTAAATCAGTGGGGAGGGGTGTTATTTTTGGGGGGCTGGTCTATGGGGTGAGAAGCTTCAGAGGGAAGAGAGTGGGGGGGTGAATTACAAGCCAGCCCCCCTCTCCTTCAATGCTTTCCTGTAATGGGGGGTGCTTTAAATCAGTGGGGAGGGGTGTTTTTTGGGGGTCTATGGGGTGAGAAGCTTAAGAGGGAAGAGGGTGGGGGGGTGAATTACAAGGCAGCCCCCCTCCTTCAGTGCTTTCCTGTAATGTGGGGGGGCTTTAAATCAGTGGGGAGGGGTGTTATTTTTGGGGGGCTGGTCTATGGGGTGAGAAGCTTCAGAGGGAAGAGGGTGGGGGGGTGAATTACAAGGCAGCCCCCCTCCCTCTATGGGGTGAGAAGCTTCAGAGGGAAGAGGGTGGGGGGTGAGTTACAAGGCAGCCCCCCCTCTCCTTCAATGCTTTCCTGTACTTGGGGGGGCCTTTAAATCACTGGGGAGGGGTGTTATTTTTGGGGGGCGGTTGCAGAGGTGGGGGGGTGGGAATTTCCATTCTCTCCACCCCATTTCCAGCAGCAGGGTTTGGGGTGTGCTTTAATATGGAGAGGGGTGAATTACAAGGCAGCCCCTCTCAATACTTTCCTGTAATTGGGGGGGGGGCTTTAAATCAGTGGGGAGGGTGTTATGTTTTTTGGGGGGTGCAGAGGTGGGGGTGGGAATTTCCATTTATTCTACCCACCTCTTTTCCAGCTGCAGGGTTTGGGGGGTGTGATTTAATACGGGGGGGTTGCTGTGTTATTGGGGGGGTGCGGTTTTTTGGGGGGGTTGCTAATTGGGTGAGGAGATGGTTGATTGGAGTGGGGGGGGTTGGAAGATGTCCGTGTGTCATCGTCGTCCCCCCCCCCCCGGTTTCTCATAGCAGGGTTGCAAAGGGTGAGCCTGTGCTTTAATTGGGGTGCCGGGTGGGGGGGCTGTAATAAATTGGGGAGGGTGAGTCTGTGCTTTCATTTGGGGGGAGCTGTAATAAATTTTATTAATAATAATAATAATAATAATAATAATGTGGAGGTGTCTTCGGGAGAGCAATGGGGGAGGAACTAATTAGGTGAGTGTATGAGAAGGAAATGGGGGGGGTGTCGATTGAAGGGCCCCTCCCTGCGTTTTCTGTCATGGGAAGGGTATTATTGCGGTGGGGTGGAGCTGAGTGGGTGAGGAGAAGGTCTGGGTATTTTTTGGGGGGGAGGGGGGCAGATTTGAAGACCACTCAAATTTCCCAAACCAGGGATTGAGAGCCTGTGATTGAATACAATAGGAGAAGAGGTCTGTTATGTGGGGGGGGGACTCCCTGGAGAGATGGGGCAGCAATGGGGGGGGCAATGGAGTCCTCCCTCCTCCCCTCCCTTTCATGTGACAGATAAGCTATTAATGGGGGGGGCGAGCCTTGCTTTAAAGCAATTGAGAGGAGTACTATTGAGGTATCTTTTGTGGGGAGGGGAGGCAGGCTAGAGTTGGGGGGGGACACACACTTGGATGAACGGATGACGAAGGGGGGGGGGGCCAGGAAAACATCGCACCCCTTTCATATGGGGCTTCTTGTAAGGGGAGTGGGGGTTCTGTTATCGCGGCCGCTCTTTGGTGGGAGACTGAACCTAATTGGGAATTCGGCGGGTGGGTTTATTTTTCCGGGGGGGGGTGTCCACTCCCCAATTTTACCCACTGTTTCTCTCCGTTAAAAAAGGAACTCGTGTCTCCTTTTACCTGTTCCCCATTTTCCTCCCCTGCAACTGGGGGGGGGGGGTCGGGAGTCTGTGCTTTAAGGTAATGGAATAAGGCTTCGTATTTTTGGGGGGGGGCTGTCCACTGGAGGGAGGCAGGTGGGTCACCCAGGAGCAAGGGGGGGGGGCTTCCTTTACTTTAACATAAAAGTGGAAGAGCTGTGGGGAGGAGACTTTATTGCAGCAGGCAGGTGTTTCATTTTGGGGGTGACTTAATAGGGAAGCTGGAGGTTCCCCCCTTCGTATTAATTCCCCCCCCATCTATAGACCAGCGAACCTCCATTTCTTTCGTGGTGATGGTCTGATCTGTGTGTGCCCCCCCCCGGAAAAGGGAGAATTGTGGGGTTCTGTGCTTTAATGCAATGGGAGGTTATGTACAACGGATAGCAGCTGGAGGAGGGCCCAGTTAGGAAGTTAGGAAGTGTATATTTCTGCATTGCAGACGGTTGGACTGGATGATCTCAGGGTTCCCTTCCGACTCTACAATCCTAGGTCTCCCTTGGAAGGCTATAGACTCTCCATCCTTGGAGATTTTTAAGCGGAGGTTGGATGGCCATCCGTCATGGATGCTTTAGCTGAGATTCCTGCATTGCAAGGGGGTTGGATTGGATGACCTCTGGGGGTCCCAAACTGCTGCCTTAATGTGCTCCTTCCTTTTTCCTCTCCCCTCCCCAGCACACCCTGGACCCCACTGCTCTCCATGAACATCAGGGCGTGAGGCTGTTATAAGGCACTTGGCTTCCCCTCTCTCCTGCGCCCCTTGACCGCTTCCACCATGGATCAAGACTACGAAAGACGCCTACTCCGCCAAATCAACATCCAGAATGAAAACATGATGCCTTGTGTAAGT